ACGAGGTGCTAATCACCATAATTATATACCGACAAAAACTAAAGAATACTAAGTCTAATGGTAAGACTTTGTATTTTTTATTTAATAATAAGTAAAGGTAGTTTATACTACTATATAAGTCTAATATTATCGAGTATATAATTATAACCTATAAATAAAGTTTAATATTATAGAACCTAAATATTAGTAGTTCTAACTTAATTCTAGTTATAAAGACTAAGTATATAAATAAGTAAAATAGGTATTTCTTAGAATAGTTTACTTTAAAAATATATAGCCTATAAACAAGGTAGTCTAATACTAGGTTAATATAGATATTAATAATATTAAGGACGCGGAAAAAAATAAGAAGAAGAGGGCTAAGAAGCGACAGAAAGAGAAAGAGTTATAAGAGAGAGATAAGAAGGCGTATACTAAGCTATTATAGTAGTAGAACAAACTTCTTACTTAGGAGTAGATATTATAGGCTGAAAAGGATAAATTAATTAACTATAGTCTATTAGACCTAGAGACTACATATAAAATAAGTAAACCTAGTACTTATTTAAAAGAGATAGGTTCCTCTTAGGCTATAAGAGAGAGAAGTATACTCTTCCTACTCTTTAAGAAATAACATAAATTAAATTATAGTATTATCTTCTTTCTTTACTAAGATTATAAACTAATTATATACTAGATAAGAAAGTTAGAAATAAGAAAAGAAAGGCCTTAGAGATTAGTATTACTTAGTAATCAAGTATTTAAGTTTTTTCTACTTCTTAAATTCTACCTATAAGTATAATAAAGTCTAAGGCTATAATATATCTAGTGTTAAGGCCGAGTCTAACTCGGATATATAACTACTTATATCTAGAGTAAAGAAATCTATAGCTAAGATTCTTTAAAACTCTTAACTAGTCTTAGAGACTTAAGAAAACAAAGCTTTATATTATACTAAATATTTATAGAAGAAGAGTAATAGTATAGTAGCTACTAAATTTTAAAGTATACTCGAACTTAAATACCTAGACTTTCTAAACGTAGCTAACTCTATAGTAATGTCTAGCTAGGCCGAATCTTTAATAAAGTATAAGAATAAAAGTAAAGGTAAGTATTTAAATAAGAATAAAGGAAGGATAGTCTAGGTATATATTTCCCTTTATTTAAGTAAGGCTTATTATAGTACTTAAAATCCTATAAAGTATTTAGCTTAAAGAATATTATATTTAGTTATTATAATAACCTTTTTATTTTTATATTTATATATATAATAACTTTATTACTTTAATATATAATCTTACTTCTTTTAGAAAACTCCTTTCTAATTTAAATAAAGAACTTTTTTATTATTTATTATTATAGATTCTTTAAATACTTCTAATATAATAAAAGATACTTCTACTATATAATAGTATATATTTATTAGACTCTTTTCTTTATTTCTCTCTATCTAATTAATTATAGTAATAGAACTTATATTATAAAGCTAACTTAGTTACTTATAATAAATATATTAGAGTCTAAATAAGTAGATATTCCTAACTATAATAACTACTACTAAAGGACCTATACTAAAATAGTTTTTAATATAATTAAAGAGGATTTAAGTAGGAATATAGTAAAGGGTTTATTAGAGTATTAAGTAGAACTTAATCAAAGGTAATAGCTTATATTTTATAAATATAAGAAATTAATTAAGGAAATAATATATATATACTCCTTTAAAACGTTATAGTAACTATAAAATTTAGATAAAGCCCTTTAGATTAGAAGATAATAAGTTTTTTATATATATAAGAGTATTTAATAATCTTAGGATATATTCTATAGTCGAGATAATAGAGAGTAGTTAGCGTTTAAATAGAGGTCTACTATATTAGAATATTATAGTAAGTAGGATAAGATATTATTAGTAGAATAATATTGTAGAATATAAAAATAATATACTAAATTATAATAGAAAGAATATTATATAAAGATATATTTAAATACCTAGATAACTTTAATATATTCTTTTATATACTAAGACTACTAAGTTTATATAATAAATCTTAGCTAGTTATTGTTACGGAGTTGGAGGGACAAGGGGTAGATCACGTGTAGCACGGCACGTGCGTGTTGCTCAAATCTTGTATATAAGCTTCCGTTCCTCTGGAACTCTCTTCTTCCCTAACTTTGTTATTCGCTCAATATAGCAGTTTACACTTGACTCCGTATCTTATCACAGCAAGTAGTGGTTTACTCCACACGTTTACAGTTGTTAGCAGAATTTACCTAAAAAGACTTCTAAAGATAAATTTCTAATACTCTAATTAGTCTAATCTAGATTATATAACTTTTTTTTTAAGTAGTACTTACCCTTCTACTATTATAATTATAGCTAAGTAGGAGGTAGTTACCTAAACAAGGTATATTTACGTTAATATATAGTATTAAGCTAGAGTTAGATATAAATAACTTACGCCTAGCTTATAACTTATAGACTCCGCTAAGTATAACCTAGTTTAAGTACTCTTAATTATAAGAATAGAATCCCTTAGGCTATAAATTTTTTATTATATATAAATAGGCGCTTTTAGAAGTACTATATCCTAGGTTTCCCCTCCTATCTCCCTATAATATAGATAGACGTATAATTAGTAGATAAGTACTACATACTCTTAATTTATAGGATATATACTTAATTTATAAGATATATACTTATTATTAAAGATTTTTTACTAAAATCACTACTTTCCTAGTACATGTGACGACACGCACAGCTGATGGACCGCGCAAGAGCACGACTCGTCAGGTATCACAAGTGGTGAGATTGACACAGTGGAACTGTCTATTCGAGGATTCTAAGCTAAGGAGAGAAGAGAAGAGAGCAGAGCTCGGGAGCCAGAGGTTCTTATATACTTATATAATATTTAATTAGCTAAGCAATAGTAGAGATATAATCATAAACTCGTTATTATAAGATTATAAGTCTATATAATAGGTATTATAAGGTTGTTATCCTTAGGTAATATAATTAGATTTCCTTTATAAAGAATAGATCTATAGAGTTAGCTAGATTAGAGCTCCCTCTTATCTAACCTTTTACTAGGTTATTAAGATAAAGACCTTTTAAATTCCTCTTAGCTCTTACTTTAACCTTTTATTTTAGGGGTTTATACTAGAAGCTTACGTAGTATATTAGTAATATTAGTATTTAATTATATAAGTTTTTATAATCCTTAGGTAGTCCTTAGTAGCCTATAGGTTTTTATATCCTTTAGAAAGTCCTTAGTTAGTTGTCAAGTTCTTACGCTATACTTAGGGGCTTATAGTCTAAACTAAAAAGTAGATTAGTAAAATTTAAAAATTATTTTATATAAATAAGAGTACTATTAACTAGATAATATACCTCTTCTACTAATATTTTATAAGTAAAAGGTATTTAGATTAAAGCGTTTATATCTATTCTAAAGTAATTAGTTGTTGTGCTGGGCCTACTTTCTCTTTTGCTCCACTTCCTTATTTGATCCACTTATAGTTCTGCTGCCGAAATGCTTCATGTCTGCCTAAACCTTACACTCTTTATATAAACACCTTAGATAGCTACCTTTTACAATGCAATCAATTCTCCATGACCTTCAGTACCCAATACCCTTTCAACCCAATATTAGTATATAACTATTAAAGGATTATATTAAATAAGATTAGTTAATAGAAAAGAAAAGATAGTAATATTAGTACTGGATTAATCTTTCTTTTTAATATACTCTAGTAAAGTAGAAAGGTTATCTACTCTAAAAGAGAGGAGATTAAAAACTAAAACTTTAGATAACTGATTCTAACCTAAACTAATTCTAACCTAAACTAATTCTAACCTAAACTAATTCTAACCTAAACTAATTCTAACCTAAACTAATTCTAACCTACTACTATAATTAAGATAGATCTTAAAGCTAGATACTATATAGAATAATAGGCTAGAAAATAGGAAAGGAAATTAAAAGAAGACTTTAGATACTTTAAACTATAACCTATATAAATAGGTATATAAAAACTATAAGGACTTAATCTAGATAAACGTTAGTTATTTTTAAAAAAAAGTAGGCTAGATTAAAGAGTTACTTACCTTTATCTATCTACTAATATACTACTTAATGTCACGAATCACGTGCTCACGTGATACTTGTCATAATAAGAGGCGCAACCCTCGACAGGCATACCCAGGTTTCTTATAGCAAATAGGGATCGCTTAGGGTAGCTAAGCGATCCAGGGATTTCCATTGGTTATGGTCACATGATTAAGTTCGATCGCTGGATCGCTCGGCGACCTAGCGAAACGGACCGCCAGCTCGACAGGCGAGTTGGCTACCCAGATCATAGTACTTGAGGATGAAGGTTCTATATAAGACTGGCACGTCTGCCATTAGATAGGAGCTTCGTGCTCAACTTAGTTATCAATCTTATCATATTAGTTTGACATCTTTGATACAAGTAACGAGTTCACTTCCAAGTGAACAACCCGATAGTCTTCTTCTTATCATAGCATACCAACCAGCGAACACCCAGCCAAGTTTAGTTAGCCAGTTTGAGTATTCGTTACAAATAGATTATATAAAGTAGATCTAAAAAATATATATAATTTAAGAAATATCGATTATATTATAATATATATCCTAGTAAGTTTTTAAGAGTTTTAAAATTTTATAAAAGTTTAATATTCCTACTAAAAGTACGGTAGTATCGACCGGGTATAGATAAGATATCTATACCTACTCCTACCTACTAAGAGGATAAGTAAAGCGATTACATAAGAGTAATTTCTTTTTTAGGTTATTAATACAGTATTAACCGGGTATAGATAAAGTATCGACCAGGTATAGATAAGGTATCGACTTTTCTGCTCCTACTAGGGTTGTTAGTGTTAAATTATAATTGATACCTAAGATGAAGGTAATACGGATGATAATAAGATCCAGAATTATGTGAAGAACAAAATCAGCAACTTCGTGGCACAACAAATGATGTTCTCTAAATGGTTCAACGCCTAAAAAATGGTGTTCTCAAAATAGTTCGACATCCAAAGCCCAAGTCCTCGCCCTCGGTAACAAAACCTCGCACCCCGCTTACTAATCCAGCCCAATCAAACCTTGAACCACTAACAACGGCCTTCAACTGCACGTCAGAAAATCATAAGACAACGAATTTCAATCCGCATAGCTTCGTCAACACCAACGTCCTCACAACTCTCCACTCTCCTAATGTCGTCCACGTCACTGCTGCGCATCGCTGCGCGCGCCCAGCCATCTACCCTCTTTCGAACCAATGGCCTCCGCAGCCTGACTCCTCGTACCTTCGCTGCCGGCCCTGCTGCCCTCCTTGCTACCTCGGGCTCGGGTGTCCACAGCTTCAGCACAACTGCTGCACGTCTTTCGGGGGATCCTCATGGGGAGGAAAGCTTTGAGGAGTTTACTGCTAGGTAGGCGCCTTTCCAATGCTGCGGGGCGGGAGAGATATGAGGGTTCTTTGGTGACCTTGTTGAAACGGATGGACGGGAATGGGAGGAAGCGTTTGGAGGGCCAATTGCTAATTAGTGGGTGTGGGGTGCAGATTTGAGAAGGAGTTTGATCAAGTGCAGGATGTTTTTGAGCTTCAGGTATGCTTTACCCCCAACCCTTATCTATTTTGGGAGCTGGGAGAGTAATGAGAGTGGGTTTGGCTAATTATCGTATGATTGATAGCGAAATCTTAACAATGCCTTTGCATACGATCTCGTTCCTTCCCCTTCGGTTCTGGCTGCTGCTTTGAAGGCTGCGCGAAGGGTTAACGATTATCCTACTGCGGTGCGAGTATTTGAGGGTACGTACGCCTTATCCTATATCTGAAAGGCAGAGGAGGGGTCGCGAAATCCATATTAGGAGCTTGAGAGATGGAGAGAGGGGCCGGGCTGACTGCGTAAATAGGAATCAAGGCAAAGGTCGAGAACAAGGGCCAATACGAACAATACCTCGAGGAATTAAAGCCGCTACGGGAAGAATTAGGTGTTAACTTGAAAGAGGAGTTGTTTCCCGAACAGAAGTAGAGGAGATAAGTGATTGTATTATGGCGGAATCATAGATGAGGCGTGGGGGAATATTTGAGGCGATTGTGTTGCGCGGGTTTCTTACTTGTACAGCTGTAATAAGAATTGCAATGCATACATCTCATTTCGAAGAATTTGCGTGGCATGGTGTGCTTGAGAGGTGGGCAGTCATTTTCGTATGGTTAGGAGGACTATGTAAGTCGAATGATCTGAGGAAATCCAGGGACAGATGCGTTGGGGTTGTGGACTTGGTCCTGCTGGTGGTTTGGGAATGCGACGAAGTTTTTCGCAAGATCCGCTTTTTTCAAATCTTTCTTACTCTTTTACCCTGAAGGCGCCCTGACTAGAATACTATAGTCTCTGATGTACATACATCACTAAATTCAAAGTTGGACGATATCTAAGGCGCTTATCAAACTGATTCGGAGATCATGGAACTCAATTTCCAGATCAAGAACAAGCAGAATTGTGAAGCGAGACGGAGTTCTTTGAAAGGAAAGCTACTGATTAGACGCTAAGCTCCTTTCACTTGCAACTAAAGGCCGCAGCGGTTGGTCAAGAATTAAGTTACACAAGAACAAACAGAGGAGTACCAGGTATTTTATATTCTGCGTCCTTGGAACGCTTTCGGATGAGAGATTGATTATGTCCTCTCGTATAGGAGTGGAGTCATAGGCAATAAATATTAAAAGTTTCTGTTTTTGCAGGCATTGGAAGAATCAAAGCGCTCTTGCCAATTGGCGAAGTTGTCTTCGACTCGCTTAGCAGGAAAACCAGGAGGCTGGTAGTATTGTTCAGATGGGTTGCTGCCTCAAACTGCATACAGGCAGCTACGGATTAGAGAATAGGCCGAATAGCACAATATCAAATGCATTCGCTTCCACCGCTACTTATTGTTCTCGTTGACTGGTACCTATTGTTGGTGAGCACCTACGGAAAACTGGAGATTTACTTCACGAAACGTTCCTCCCATCGAACTTTTTCTTCACACAGTTCACTCTTTTTTTCCCACGCATTATTGGTACAAACCATAGGTACTTTTTCTTGATTCTTGTACGATACGGAACATTCTCTCAATCAACAGTTTGCAGTGCCAGTACGCTGGCGTACTGCATTCTGACAAGATGGATCCATACCGGAGCTCTCTTTCCAAAATGGATGCCACTTTGAGGAAACTCAAACAATACCTACAGGAAAACGCAAAAGATTTGAGCCAGGAACAGAAATTGAAATGTTTTGACGAATTCCGATTGATGTTCTGGAACGAGGACTTACTGGCCCAGGCGATTTCGACAAGGCTGCCAAAATCGGCCAATCAGAAGCGAGAAGCGTTTGAGTTCCTCGACCTTGCCCAACCTCACAAGCTCAACTCCCAGACTTTCGACACGAACGTGCCGCACCCCGGAAAGGAAAATCTCATTCGGTTTTCAGAGGAGATTGAGTACACGAAATGCGCAAAGAAGCGACATCTGCTGGTGAATTATGAGTCGGGAAGTATGCCGAGTGAAAGCCCTGGGAAAACGAGACGCCTATTGAACCCGCGCCATACTAAATCGCAACCATCCCAACTTCAACACGATAAAGCCCGAGAATCTTCTCCACCACCCGTCACCTCAAGGTCGTCACGATCGAGAGCTTCCACGCCCAGCGCTGTCGAGTCGGACAACGACGCCGAGGTACGTCGGGATATGATTTCTTCTTCCGCAAGGCTGTGGCTCAGAATGCGATGCCGCCTAGTGGGGCTCTTCGACCAAATCGCTAACCCCATCTCAGGACGAAGACGAAGACGAAGAATCCCTTTCTGCGAAGAGAGGCCAGCGCAGCAAGCGAACAACAAATCCACCACGGGAGCCGGTCGTTCTTATCGAGGTTAAGGGGCAGACTGTTCTTGCGAAACCTAAAACGAATTTTGATGACGAGGGCGAGGGCAAGATCAACCATATCATACACCTGAGGAAGAAAGCTCAAAGACGAAGCTCACCGGAGAAGCACATAATAAATTTGGAAGAGGACGATTCACCAAAGACGCCCCCGCCAAAATCCGGAAAGGAAACATTTATCGAGGGTGAGGCTGGAGACATTGATGCCAATGCCGCCCAGGTGCACAGCCAATCCACGAATTCGCCCGTCACGCCATGGTATGCAACCTTGAGTCCCAGCAGGTGTGTTTGTCCTTTGAATAACTCCTTCTGTGTAGGAAGTGGGGACGTGAAAGACTCGCACGACAAATAGGAAGAGTACATCCGCAGTATGTTGCTTTCATTAGGAGCACGCTGCACATACTCAATTTGCTGACCTGAGTTGATAGGTTTCCAATTCCCTCCAATGCTTCTGAGTACAGCTTTCTGAAACATCACGCTGAGAAGGAAGAGTCTAAATCCGTGAATTCAATGGTACGATTTACCTATCTTAATTGTATAATTGGCTAATATCTTTTAGACGACTTTGCTGAACGGAGGGCTTGGGAGGGGCGTGAAACATAAGCCATATTCAGGTGGCCCAAAGCCTACAAATAACTTACGCAAACCATCAGGCAATCTTGAAGTTGTGATACACTCGTTTTCACCGAAGCGAAAGGATGGGGAGACACAAGAGCTGAGCAAACAGCCCTCCGAAAAGGCCTTTAGATTGATTGCACAAGCCCAGGAGAACAAAAGACGGAAGACTGACCACAGAGCTACCAAAAGTATCGCCTCGCCTGGTTCTTCTGATTCAGATTCTCCTACTATGGAACGCTCAAGGGGTTTAACAAACCCAAAGCCAAGAATCAAGAAACAGGCAAGCAGCAATGGGCAAGTTTCTTCCATGGACGAGTACTCGAGTGTTGAGGGGGTGATGAATCCTGCCCCGAGGTCGGCAGCAAAAACCCACTCTAGCGACAATAACACCAGAAGCCCTTATTTCAGGAGCACAGATTCCACAAAGCCTGCTAGCCTCAACGAGGACGCTACAGACCCAATCTCGGACCCTGACGAGCCCTTACGTCAACCGAAGGAACAAATCACGCATATATCCCAAACATATAAGGGAACTGCAAACCTCAAGCCAGCTCGCGGAAGGCCCTCAAAAAATTCAATAAATGGCTCAAAATCTAAAGCCGTAGGCACTTATACGGGTCCAAATGCCGAGGAGCCATCGTCATCAGTTGCTACAGCCAAACGGAAGCGCGAGTCAGATGACTGCAGTGCGGACGAGCTTGCAACAGGGCATTTTCCCAAGAAAAGGACTGAGAGGGAGCACGCTCAGGAGCTTTTGAAAAGCGCTGACAAGATCAAAACTCAAACCTCTAATCTCACCAACGGAGCTCATAATATTGTGGGTAAACATGCTACGATCAATGGAACTCAGGATTTTGTGGAATTGTCAACAGACGATGAGAAAGAAGAGAAGAAGTCTAAAATCACACCATCCAAGTTCAAAACCTCCAATCGGCCGAAACCGCCGCCTAAGAAGATCGATATTAAGGTGGTAAACGCCTTTTCCACACTCGGCCTGCGGAAGGCTGATGACGTTGAATGGCGGATTGTCTGTAATGTCCAAGACAAAATGCTTCGCATTGTCGATGCCGGGGACCAGCCACAAGAAGAGCGTCATTTTAAGCATCTAAGGAAGATTACTGAGGGTAGTGACAAGGTCATTCTGAATTGGTTGGCAGATACCACTACCTCCAACAGACAGTCCGACTTGTTCATTGAACTGGGAGGTGTCGATGAGAGCTCTTATCTGGTAGAGCAGTTGAGCAAGATGGTTCCTGGGACAGTGCAATTGAAACTTGACGCCGAAAAAATGGACAAAACCTTTGCGAACAGCAAGAAAAAACGTGTCTTGAAGCCTGCCCCACCACGACTTCCGGAAGACATCCCGGAAGATGTCCAATTCTTGGAAAAAAAGGTCCAGTTGCGCCATGAGCAAAGACGAGCCGAAGGGCAGGAATCCAAACGAGCAGGGAGTACTCAGGGCATAAAGAGGCGAATACAGAATGATGCCGCCCAGCCACAAAGAGCAGAAGGCCGCGCTCGAAGAATGGAAATTTCAAGCTTAGGATATGAAAATGGTATCACTTCGGATGGTTTTTCTCCTGCCAGCTTTTACAACAAAAACAACTCCTCTGACCATGAAATCAAATTTAAAGAAACTCTCCCTATTACAAGACAGTCGACACGAATTGTAAGAACGGAACCTGTCCAAGAGAAAGCTCTCCGCTCATCACCGCCTATCCCAATCCAATGGACAAAACAACACCCTGACTGGGAAAAGTCTTGGCGTGACGCTGTGGTATATCCTCCAGGCCCAGGTCACAAGCGCACTGCTACTGTGGACCGAGAGGATATTTCAAGACTGGACGAAGAAGAATTCTTGAATGATAATCTGGTCAATTTCTACCTCCGCTACTTGGAATTCCATCTCAATGGCGCCAGACCAGACGTTGCGAAAAGAATCTACTTCCAGAACTCCTACTTCTACGAAAGATTGACCAGATCAATTGAAGGCAGGAAGGGAGGAATAGATTATGAGGCGGTTCAGAGGTGGACCAAAGATGTTGATCTTTTCTCGAAGGACTATATCATAGTACCTGTATGTGAAAACCTTCACTGGTATGTTGCAATCATTTGCAATGCACCGAAGTTGCTTAAACCAGATGTTGAAGAAGACGTTTTCGAAATCAGGGCGTCCAACGGAATTGATGTATCAGCATCCCACCGGAACCCAATCAACCTGGAGGACGATGACCATCCAATGAAGACGCAATCTCTACAAGCCTCCCACGAAGAGCGTACAGATCACGAAAATACTGTTGTTGAGTCATCAGAGGCTAAAAGAGCTCGTCAAGAGTCCGACGACCATAAAGCAGATGAGTTTAATACTTATCCGGTTGCCAATGTTAAGTCGGACTTGCAGCCAGCCCCACCGGAAACGCCAGCGGTAGCAAGAAAGGTACGAAAGGCGCCTGTTGACCGGAGACCTGATGCTAGCACACCTCGCATTATCCTTATTGATTCTCTGGGACAAAACCATCCAGCCACATCTAGACATCTGAAAGATTACCTGATTGCTGAGATGAAACACAAGCACGGAAAGGATATCAGTCTCTCGAAGGGAATAGGATTTTCCGCCAAGAACATTGATATGCAGAACAATTGGTCTGATTGCGGTCTTTACTTGCTCAGCTATATCGAGAAATTCCTTGAAGATCCCGACAGCTTCATATCCATCGTACTAGGCAACAGTGCTAAGGGTGACTCAGGTTGGTTGCAACCAAGCAAGTTGCGCCATGATATTCGAGATCTCTTAATTAAGCTGTCACAGAAGAAACCGGAAGGAGAGAATCCGTTTTTGAAGACTCCTGATGTTACCAGTGCAACAGTCTCAAGTCCTGCCTTGCGCGATGCGTCAACTGATCGTACAGAAATCATCGCTATGACAGAGCGTTCTTCCCCAGCAGAAAAGTTAATAGAGAGGAGGTTCCACGATGGTCTTTCCTTGCAACTTGGGAGGGGGCCTGCCACCTATACCAGTAGCTCTCCCCGAATGTCGAAGTCTGCCCCACCAGACGATTTTGCAAACATGCAAACCCCAGCAAATTCTCGCCTCTCTAAAAGAGTCAATGCGACTAGCACGAAGGAAGCTACGGACCTTCAGCATCAGCCGGAATCTGTTGCTTCGAGCGATAGGCCCCACAAGAGCAAGTCAAGAAAACCAGCGAGTGTGCCAGCAGTTGTAATTGACCTTGACGAATCAAGCACGCTGCAAGAATTTCCCGAATCCCCACAACCAACGACACGTTCGAGTCTGCCCCCCAAGAAGAGTCTCGATAATAAGACCACGTTTCTCCACGGTGTGAGAGATGCCGTGACGGGTTTCGTGGGGAGTGGCTGGAATATGGGAGACAAAGAAGGCGCGAAGGATTTGGGCAGCTCGGAGTCGCAACCCCTTGAGGTTGACGACTCACCAGTGAAATCCGAGACCCCGCAAAAACATCGTAAAAGGCGCGACTCTTCTGCTTCCGTGGAAGTAATTTCCAGTCGTGCGCAGTCTAAACGACGGAGAGTTTCGCCAAGACAGTCCAGAGACTCTTCGATGAATCAGGAGAAAGTGAGTCAAGGGAGTGACGTTCCTGACTGCCCTAATTCTCTAGGTCTTGTCGAACCTGATGTGGGTGATATGGGCCAGCGGGCATTGGAGCCATCTTCACCTACGACAGCACAACAGGATGAAAGCAAGGTGCTGGAGGACAAGCCAGAAGATGATGACACGAAAATGCTACTCGACGATACGAATATCTGTATATCAGAATCAGCCTCCAAATCGCCTACAACAAATGGTAATCTACAACAACAGAGTTCTTCACTGTCGCAAGATGAACCTCCTTACAGGTTTAATATCGACGTGGAAGACGATTCTCCAGCACCACAAACTTCTCATCCCGCAGGGCGCAGGTCTGATTTGCAACAAGGGACGCATATCCGATTTGATACATAAAGTTGAAGCAGGAGGAAAGGAAATCTGGTGAACCAAATGCTCCCGGATACTTGACAGATGTCCGACCCAGTCTGAACACACTAGCCTGGCCTGAGCCTGAAGAGACCAGTGAGCTGTGGACGATTGCCAACCTCAAAATCGTTCTTGTCGCAAGAGTTGATCGAGGTGACATTATCTCCCATAGAAGGCATAGACAGCAAGCTTGTAATTGGGTCTTACCCTGCATGATGAATTCGCACACTTTTCCTTATTGTCCCCGTCACAAATACATAGCATAGCAATTGGCGTTTTGATATCCTCAGCCTGTTCTTTTTTTCCTGGTTTTCTTTTAAACAAGATGTAGATATTTTCTCCCTGCAATCTTTTCTCATTGCATTTGGCAGTTTTTGGGAGCCGCCTTGTTTTTTCCCCCCCTGGAGTTTACATGGGACAGGAATCATGAGCATCAAGATGGCATTTTCTTTCGTAGTTAGCTTTGTGGAAGGGGTTTTCCACTTTTACAGGGACGAAGTAGAGGGGTCTCCTGTGGGTGGGTTATGGATGCGTCCCGAGATTTGGTCGCACAGGCCATAGATGGTGTAGTTATAAGGAAGGGAAGAATCATAAACAATGAAAATAATTGCTACGCCGGTGCTATACGTAATCACGTTCTTGATGCGAGTACAGCGGGAATTCTGCTTTATGTGCATGAATTTCCTATTCTTTCCTTTCTAACATGGATTCACCATACTTTCCTCCACTCCCTCCAGAAAAGAACCGTCCCGAACATTATCCCAAAAAAAACATTGTCACCTAACAAATTAAATCCATCTCTATCCCTCCCATCTCGAAATTAAACTCCTGATAATTCCTCACAGATCTGCCAACCCACCGTGATCCCCGTTCTGCATTCTCTCACTCACTGAAGTCCCACCATCTTACTCTTACTCATGTCTTGGGAAGAGGTCGCTTATTTCTTACCCATGACGATGACTGGTTTGTCGGTTCGGAATTTCTTGACGGTCTCAATGCTTACGTTCAAGACTTGGGCGACGAGGTCATTGGGGGTGAGGGAGAGCCATTGGGAGAGGGAGAAGTCTTTTACGGTGTCGGCCTTGAAGATCTCGAGGTAGGTGACTGTCTCGTTGGAGACGTTCTCGATGTAGTGACCTTTTTCATTCTGTTAGTAGACGACCTGAGAGGGGGGGCTGAGCTGTGAAGGGACTCACCAGAGTTATCAGGGAACACGGCGGTGTCACCGGTGGTGAAATCGAATGTTCTGGCGTTGGCGCCTCCGAGCCAGACGGTTGCACGGGCGCTACCTTGGACGAAGTATACCCATTCCACGCCCTGGTACGAGATATGTGATCAGCGAGGTTCGTAATACGGTGGCGGGGTGGAGCTGAGAAGAGAGGGCAGGGAGAGGGAAACTTACAGTTGGGTGCCAATGCATCTCTCTCATAGCTCCAGGTTTGATCTCAACAATCTGGGAAGCGAGGGTGGTCTGGATAGGGAAGACCGATTTATCAACCTTCAAATAACGTCCACCCTCCACCACAGTGAAAGGCTTCTCACTAGCTCTATAATGGAAACTACTCGCGCCCTCCAACTTGCCGTTAGGAGACGAGATCAACCCGGTACTGGCATTTCCCTTCATGATACTGGCTGCGGACTTGGGGATCGAGGCGAATACACTCTCTGGCATGCCGAAGTTCTTTGCGAGGACCGAGGGAGGGGTGTGGACGAGCCAATCGTCCACGTTGAAGGTTCGTCCCTTGGCGTCGAAGTCGCCGTTGTCGAAGACGAGGAGGTATTCTGCGCCGGGGGAGGATAATCCTTGGATTACGTGTCCTTGACCCTTTGGGAAGAACCACATGTCGCCTTTGTTGGCGCGGAAGACTTGGTTCTTTCCTTCGTCGGAGACGGCGCCGATGAGGAGGGAGCCGGCGGTTACGTAGCCCCATTCGTTCTGTGGGATTTGTTAGATTTCGGTCTTATAAAAAATAAGGGGAGAGTCAGGTGATACTTACGATGTCGTGCCAATGCATGTGTCGAATAGCTCCTTGATTGACATGGTTCTGAGCTGCAGAAAAGTCTTTACTTGGTGGGAGGTCGGTGACGACCTGCTCACGAACAAATCCACCCTCGAAGAGATTCATGCCTGAAAGAGACATACTCCATTTGAGGTTCGTGACCAAACCCCCATCAGTTGGGTTTGTCTGCAAATGATCTGGGTTCTGGGAATCCAGAAGCGAGTTTTCGGGAACTACCGCAAGTTAGTTGCCAACTCTTCGCGTATTTGAGTCGGTGAGAGAGACGTACTTAATAATGGAGCTCCCTTGACTCCGACAACTGGCTGAAGTGGCTCCTCAGCTCTTTTCTCGAGACTCGAGGCAGGTACTCGCTCGATAATTGGTCGGAGATGCTTGGTTTGTCGTCTTTGGGGTTGGGGAGCATCGTTGGCGGCCTCGGGAATTGGATAGGGTGGGGTGGCGGCCGCGGAAGTGAGGACCACGAAAAGTGCCGTAGCTTGGAGGAGTGAGGTTCTCATATTGAATGAGTTTTATAGGGCGATTGAACAAAATTCTATGAGGTGTTAATATTGACTCTTCCTCGGTTGTGGGGATGAGAGGGGGCTCGCTTGGAGAAGCGAAATTCCAAGAATATATGAGCGAGTGCAAAAATACGTACTGAAATGAATTATTCCCAACTTCGACAAATAAGTTGACAGAACTTATTGACCTTCTTTTCAACCAAGTAAATAGCTGAGAATGAGAAGATTGTAAGGAAAGAAAAAGGAAAATCACGGCGAGATTCAACCCTTTTTATAATATTTTTTGTTCCTGTGTCTCCCGAGTCTCGGAGAAGATCAGAGAGACAGACCAAGATTATTTCCTCACGTCCCACCCTTTTAGCTAGGATTACACATGTACAGCTACCCAAAAAGTAGCATTGGACGTACGCAGTTGCAGGCACACGAGAAAAGAGAAAATACACCGGAGTGCTCTTCATAACCTCACATGTTACCTTCCGCATTCTACCCAAACCACGTCGGTGTCGGGGCTGAAGGGGAAATCACACATGAGGTAGTGGAGGTCGTGCGATAAGGCTACACAGTACTGTATGCAGGCAGATTTGCAGCAACAAATGAAACTTGAAAACGGGTTCATGGGTCCAGCTCTTCCCCAAAAACTTTAAATGGCAAAATAGACGCAAAGTTGAGGTGCACAACATGTGTGAAGATGTCACTCGACATTTTTCCATATCTGGGGCAGATCCGTCGGTCTTACAATATCAGAGATTCCAGAACATCAGATGGATACAACAGACTAGCCGCTTGACCGCAAACCACCTCGGGCACTGCCGCGATCTACATGCATGACAATCAACTTGGCAGACATCGTGTCAATAATAATGGTGCACTACAAAAAAAGGGCATGTCTTCCGGCCTCTTTGCTTGCATCATTCTTATCGTCGCATATGTAATCAAACGTCGACGTCAGTTGTAAACATGAACATGCCAGCAATCAACGTTAAAGTACCTTAACGCACCAAGCAAACCCATGTTTTCAAGGGAAGAAGCACCGAGGGATCGCTGGTGCATGCATTCAACACCTCCACACCACCACCACAACCAAATATATTTACTGAGAAGGATGAAGCTAAGAGATGATGCAATCTTGGCTGCTTGCTGTTGCTTACCATTTATGCAGGAGATCGCTGTAGTACATATGATGCCACCCGTCTGCTATCAACAGCGCCAAAGAATTGTGGGGACGAACGGGAGACCTCCTAATCGGACGAAAATGGCGTTGTGGCTGCGAACGAGTATTTCTACACAGATTTAGGTCAGGTGATCAGGATTTTTGAGATTTCAAGGGTGGATAAATTGTCACCTTCCCAAAAGTGGCATTTTCAGGTCTGGGGCCCGCTCACGGCATGCATCCGGGGCTTCTATTGACCTGAATCAGTTTGGCGTCAAGTCACGTCAAGTAGGATTATGTATGATTACGTTGGTCTGCATAGCAACTTCACGTGGACAAGATCAGCATGCTTTTTCTAAATTCAAGTTTTATATGCCGACACGTGATTTACTTCATACTTGCTCCCCTGAACTTAGCGAATACAAAAGGCTGCCCTGAATAATTCGCCGCGCGATTGATACCCTGCGATCTATATGACGGCTGGCAAATGGTAGCTTCCCCTAATGGTAATGGTAACGAGAATAGAAATCTTCACGCCACAATCATCAAACTCCATGTGAGCACGCCATTTTCTCAATGAATGAGTAAAATTCCCAGTCTGAGAAACAATCATGAATCCCATAGGCAAAATTCACATACGGCAACTCCCTCCTTACCCGGAATTGCAGCGTCAAAAGTTCAATTTAGAGTGCTTACACCCATCACTTCTCCAGCTCCCCTGCCAAGACGACGATATATCCAGAATGTAACCCCCCCAAACGGAGATTAGTTGCTTCATGTTGTTCATGACGTTCACTGCATCTCGGCATCCACGCGTGGAAATCAACCACCGGTTTATAAATCAACCAGTGAATGCCCAGCTTTACGAGTTTCCGAGTAATGCTTAGAGTGCTACGACTTCCCATATGTGGAAACGGTTCTTGGATATCCGGTATCCGACACCCCCTTTAGCATTTCAGACCCCCACACCCCCATATCTTGGCCATCTCGAAATAGACCGGCTACCCAAGCTCGCTGAGACATAATGACATAGGTACATCGACGATGAAACTCCCAATTGGGTTAGACTGACGCCCATGAAAGAGAACAAGGGGGGGATTCTCTTTAAGTCGCTTCATTGGATTTTCTGTTAATCAGCTTGTTACTTCTCAACTTTCTTTGTTTGCCTGTTTCATGACTGTTCTCTGTTGTTTACCATCAGGAATCTAGAAGCGATTCCCTGATCCAAAGTGAAATTCGAAGGCTTCTACTCCAGTACTCTCACGTTTTCACTCTGGGTTCACGTCCTATTATGCGATAGGAGGTTGGAAATATAACGTGTGCTAAAATGGATACTTTGCCCTCTGGGAACTTATTGACTTCTTGCGTCAGGAAATTCCATACGGTGTCAGGAATATCCTGACACTAAGTCCCCAGAGGGTTGAGGCTTAAGTGGGTTTCTATGGGTCGAAGAACCACATTCCATTGCCGTCAATTGATGACTAAGTGGGCATCTGATCTAGATTTTGGGGAAAACGTTTCGACACGAAGACTCATCCATCGATTCTTTATTTTATAATTCTTCTTGTGAAGCAAAGTCAGGTGCTTTTCGGTTCTCGATCAAGTTCTCGTAATAAAGGGCTCTTCAATCAAGCGCACGTACAGTACAAGAGGAATGCTGCGATATCGATACACGTTTCCAGAGCTAACGAGTACTCAGGAGTAAGTATTTTGAGAAAATATTGCAGTAAAGAAGGGGTCAGATTATTTCTTGAGAGGGTAAGTCAACGCTGTTGACACAAAGTTCTTAATGGCGCAAGTACTTACTTGTATGGACCTCTGAAAACAGGTATCAGAACAGCTCAAGACAACACCACCAAAAACCCAAAACACCGAAAAACAACACACCACCTCGTAATGGAACAACCAAAACATGACTGAAAACAGGAAAATTATAAGGTTTCATATACAGGCGAGATTTCCCTCTTAATCCGATTCTTTTCTCCAGACTTCATCACTCACACAGTCACGATGCAAACCTTCAAGAAACTTTTTCGATCGCTAACTTCCCTATCCGGCCGCGGAAAGAAAGAAAAGAGAGAGAGAGGGATTTGCCCAGGATGCAGAAGAATATTCTTTGTGCCAAAGAGAGGAGTGGAATTGTCTTGCAGATATTGCGGTGCAAGTTGCTGGCTACCCAATGAAGAAAATGTGCTTCCTTTAGGTCCTGCCCCAACTGCATATACTGCCCCAACTGCAAATCCATTTGCAAGTCAAACAGGAGGACGTCGACCGGGTTTAGGAAGAAGACAAGGGTATACTCCACCAGCACCCGTGCTGGAAGTCCCATCTAATACCTATCCGCCACCAACTCCAGTTTCCACCAGACCTGAACGCAAACATGAAGCTGTTGCTCTGGTGGAGAGCTTGCATGGGTTTGTAGCAACGTGGGAGGACATTCAACAGTCTGACAGGCAGCAGATTCCTTCAAGTGGTTACACACAAGCTGGACTTGCTATACCACCAAAGGCTTCGAGTTGTCCTGGAAAATCGAGACTCAGTGAGCGTGCGGAAGAGGATTACTTTAGTCCACCTGCTCGTCTTCGACGGAGGCAGCAAAGCAGAGAGGGAGTGTGCTCCTGGATGAGCTGATTGCTGCTGAGGATGAGAAGAAAAGAAGAACTGGTGCGACGATGCAGGTAGATCCTGTTCTGGACAGCAGGTTGAGTGAGGAGTTGAGTTTGTATGCTCATAAGCATTTCGCGAAAGGGCGAAGTGAGAGAGTTTACAGGTAAGTAGATTTCTTTGTTTTTCAATAACACCTACCCCCTGCCCCCCTAACCAGATACTAACTGCCCCCCCAGCCCTTCCCCCATTTCCCCACCCAACTGGTCATACTTTATGGCATAGCTAACTAACACCAAAAAAATACAAATAGATTCCTGCACAAAATTAACAATTTTGAATTACTTGGATACAACGTGAATATGACGAAGAAACAACGTGATGAAACAAATATTCAGAAGTACAAAGACAGATTTTGGAAGAAAGAGAAAAAGCAAGACTATCCCATATGTTGAGAAGAAGGTGAAAGAAAAACACAAAGTGGCTTCTTTCTTTTACCTTAAGCAAAATCTTGCATCGTTTTCAGGCTAGTCTTCTGATACAATGCTAACACGGTGAACACAATTTGCCCAAAACTTCTTAGAATCTCCTGTTAATTAACTTCATAGGAAGGGATGACCTTATTTTGGGGAGTGGTCATGACCTACAAAAAGCCTTGAGAGTAGCGGTGAGTCAACTTAGTGATATTAGTGTTAACCTTATCCCCTCATACTTAATATCTACATCTAGATTTTCAAGTTTGGGATTTCCTCATAAGGCGATAATTTCCGAGCACAAGAAGATGTTTAAGCATACCTATCAAAAAGTCCAAAATGAGGCTCAGCTTACTAAATTTAAGCAGCCGAACCAGTCAGAATAGATGCCTGGGCACACTATGGAGGCTCGAGTCGACTTGCTCCAGATTACTTGAGTAGTAATAACGTTGAAATTAATGCAAGTACTAAGACTGAAAGTGAATCGCAGATATACAGTCCCGCTATTTACATGGAAGAAGCTCCAATGAAAATACTGTATTGTAAAGGATCTGGATAGCTCGCGTCTCCCGCTTCCCTGTATACGACTTGTTACAGGCAGGCACCCGGTGGACAGAAAAAGTGGCGGGACCTAACTATAAACAAAAAGTCTTCGCCTAGACTTTAGATATCCTTTCACAGCAACAAGATTCAAAGTCTTCAAGGTCCTATGAATTTTATTCAATTGATTCTGCTTATATTGGTATTTTTTGTATATTTTACGGTGCTCTTGTATTAAGCTACACAGTCAAATGTATGGCTCTTTCTCAGGAGTGTGCACAGGCCCGCCACTTTTTCGGTCCACCGCGAGGCAGGGTATGACCCTACAATATAACCCTCTAAGCTAACTTGATTGTCCGATTCGTGCGGAGATATTTCAGAGATTGACAAGGGGGGACCCAAGCTGTCCAGAACTTTCAAGTGAATTAACCTTTTATACATTTGAACTGGGTCTCTAAAGATCGGTCTATTTAAACCTTTTCGAGAAACCACACAGTGGGGACTGTATATATTGAGCATCGGGAAATACTCTGCCAGAGTCCAACTGGAAATCTGGAACCGTGAGGAGCCTCGGAAAATCATAGTGATGGCAGATAAAAAAGTGCGCAGGTATTAAAGGGGTGCCCTCCATTCCCAATCGTGTACGTAAGCAACCCCATTGCATAAACCCATTTCCTTGTACATTTGTCTTGATTGAATTCCACTAGTAGCAAGGCAATAAGCATGTAACCGATAACCATTATAGTCTAGTGGAGTAAAACTTTTACAGAGTTTCAATGCTAAATTTTCCGGGAGCTTGAGGATAATTCGCTTTCTGTACTCGTGCCACAGATAAGTTTGAAGTTTGCTAACTCCTTCCCTCAAAAGGAAGTGAAGGATTTAAACTCAAGATAGAAAGCATCGCAACTTCCTTGTATTCTATTCTCGCCTCCTTGGCGAGACGTTGTTGTGGAATTTGAGGATGGAAGTATTCAAGTAGGTGACTTGAGTCGAGTTACTCCGATAGGGGCCTCAATGTAGAAGATCCGGGCCCTCATGCTGGGTCACGTGTATTTAGAAAATTGCCATCGTGGATGTATCGTTATATGAGCAATGAGTTCTAAATATTTCCGTGTCTGGAAGGATTTGGGTGACCTTAACATATTGGGTCCATGAATCTGATGGATTCATTATAGAGTTCTTCCTTGAAATCAGGTGACTTCTCTCGACAAATACACCCGGTACTCGAGGGACGTTATTTGCAGAGTGTAGCCCTCCGCTTAATGAGAGATAAGTGGTAGCTTTCTAAGTACGTTTTCCTTCAATTTGCTGAAAATAAGGTGTTAGACATTTAAGTTATCTATGAAAGAAGGACATAATTATACACAGTCTGCAGATGTTCTAGTAACTGAAATATTCTTTATATAATCTCTTAAAAGTTGTTACGGCACGAGTGCTCTATACTAATGAGCCGAGAGCACTCGTGTACCCAGTACCAGCTGTGTCTGACGCCTATACCTAGTTCAACGATAATTAAGAATTTTAAGCTAACCCTGATATAAGAACTAGTAAAGATAAAAGCAAGGATATTATTAGTACAAAAATGCCCTAGGCTAAGGATATCCTAGTGAGAGTACCTTTGAGTACTACCAATAAAAATCGGGACCTTAGAAGTTAAGGATATAGCCCCGGATATTCCCATATTGAGTATCCTAGTATTAAGTTTCGCCTGTAAGCGAGGTTTTGATTAACCTCCGACAGCTACCCCACCTCGCTTACCAGCCTTGAACTCCGACTCTGTAGAATTTTCGGATTTTCAAGTAGGTAGGTATTCCACACAATGACGAGTACATCGGTTTCACCAATCCTTCCAATGACGTATTGACACCCGAATTTTTGTATACCAATCAACCTCTGTCGAATACGAGACTTACTGTTACGCATTCGTTCCGCGATACTAACAATTGTACTTCAAGTGCTACGTGATACTTCGACTAAATCCAAGAATGTGTGTCAAAGAAAGACCTGCATATTCGTCAAAATCCAGGTACGCTACAAAAGTTTCCCCGAAAGAATCCAATTGTCAGTTGCAGGCCAGCTTGTGCAGACGCCTACAGCTGCATTCACCTACTTGAGCTTTCCTCAGCCAACGAAGTTAGACTAACCATCTCTTTCTTGGGGGTCGAAAGGGTCAGTTTCTTTCTACGAGCCCTCGCATAAAGTAGAAAATGACTCTTTGAACTTCTATTGTAAGTACTCGATTCAGAGGTCGACGTGGTGGCCGAGGTGGCTTTCCAAGACTTGATTTACGAGGGAAGATGCTCAAGTGCCATAAAATGGCCCCGGCTCAGGGCTGAGCCCCTCACGTGCCCCGTTAAAGAACACTTTTACTTCTACTTCTTTTCTTAACCTACTCAGAGTTCTGACAATCCTGGATAGAGCTCTAAAAATGAGTATGAAGGAAATCTCCAAGTGAATTTTGGTGTGGCCAATGTCAGCAGTCTCAAATACTTTGGACCTCCGAATCGAGTTATGGTGGTGTCTGATTCAAACAGAGAAAACAATCCTGATTGTGAAATGGCTATTGGATAGGTATTCTAAGAAAACAAAACCCTGTAGATTGAAGCAAGTTGATTTATTCTGCTACGCAAGGCAGAGTCATGTACATAGAGGGAAGCGAGTCCGAGATATCAGTGAACTTTAGTAGGTTTTGAATGAATTCAGAGAATTCTTGAGTAGATATTCTCGACGACCTCTCCTTGCCTAGCATAGTTTTAAGGGGTGTCCCACCGTGGTTATCCTAATCTCTCGAATAATCTTAGCGGTAACAATAAGCATATAAACCCCCTTTCATACCGCTCCAGATTTCACAAACAACATCGACTTAAACTCATCACAATCACCCATCGCAATCTATCTTCAGAAACTTCAAAGGTATGGAATACCTATATTCCTCACTCGTCACTCTGACTGACCATAGCTTTGTCTTTACAGTGAAAACAACTGCCGCAACCCTCAACTATTTCTGAAAATGAAGCTCTCAACCTTGTCTGTTTTCATAGCGCTCTTCGCTGCAGCTTTCGCTATTCCAGCACCAACTCCAGAGATTCGTATTACATCTGTTTTCTCATCTGGTTTGAACAATATTATTCTTTGACGGACAAGCTGGTGGAATTGAAGCTCAATTGCTCGCAGAGTTGGAAATAGTTTGCGCATACATACGTAAAATATTTTCAACTACCTGACGGGCGGATTCTCGTGAATTGACAAGAAAATTCTCCCTTGCTACAATGGATCATTTTGTCTAAGATGAAAAAAGAAGCTAACAATATCATAATGTTGCGTTAATTGTGAGGCTCAATGCGACAAAGTGGGTTGTACCAACGAGCGTCAATACTGCGCACAAGAATGTGGCGGTTACTGTTTTGTCGCAAGCGGAAAGCGTTAGCTTGGAGAGGTTTTCTGAATCTTATCTAGCTATTCTCATCATTCTGAAAATTGAGCCTCACATCCAGCCACAGCTGGTACTAGGGGTTTAGCCCAGCTATCATTTTGTACCTTGCTTTCAGCTTATGCTACTAGCTGTATGAATCATACACTCTTTCTGTAACGTCTAAAAGCTGCCAAATACTGTTTTTTAATCTTTGATGATGCTCTTGAGAATATTAGTAATCGTTCACATGATATAGGAGGTCAAGCGAAGGGGCCCCCTAGCTAGCTCTTTATCCTTATTATTCTACGTTTTATGTTCGTTCGTCAGTCGGTACATGTCACATTAAATGAGGCTTATTTTTGGTTTTCTTTTGTATTATTGGCTAGCTTCAAGTAATTATAATTCGCCCACATATAAGTGGAAAGCGAAGAATGAGCAGCCTCAGCCGTATTGAGCAGCGCGAAAGGAAGCAGCCACAAAACAAGGGGAAAACCAAGAATAAGACGAAAAGGGGGATAAGGAAACAAGGAAGGACTATCCTTATTAAACTCTCTAAGCCAGTGGGCATATCCACCACCTGCCCTGTAAATATCTACCCCTCTCACATTTGTATAACAAGCATAGTAAAATCTCTTTTCAGGCCAAAACCACACCCAGAGAGCCCTCCTTGCCCAGCGGATACACATGACATTCCGACCCACATCTGCCATGCCGACGCTAGTTCGAGTACGTCGGTAGTTGGGCTGGGGGGAGGCCACCACTTGAAGCCGTTATAAAGAGGGTCTGGGTGCTGAGATGACTTAAGCCTATTTTTTAATTTTATTTTAGCCTCTCCTTTTTACTCTTTTCTTAAATCTATACTCTCCTTATCTACACCTATTTAGTTAAATAATCTATTATTGTTAGAATACATTCACTATATCTAGCTCTAATGACTAAGCATTCCTAGTAGTGGGATAATATCCCACTGTACGCTCCATAGCTAGCTCTCTCGATAGTTAATAATACAAGCCTTCTATAATGTCTGTTC